TAGAATTACGTCAATTTCTTGACTATCTTGGTCCTCATATCCAGCTTGGAACTCATGAGGTAGTATATGCACCATGTTTACTGATACTGGAGGAAACGAGCCAAACTGGATGGCTGGCTGTACCTGTTTCCCCTTTTGACTACCTTGGTCAGTTACCTCAAAAGCATCCTGCATGCTGCATTCTGGTACTTCATTGCTAACAGGTTCCTTTGAATGGTTTTCCTCGACTGGTTTTTCAACCAAAAATGTTTGCTCGGCCATAAAGGCTTCGAACATTTCTTCTTTCACCATTTTTTTCTTTTGGCTTATGCCAATTTCTTCTTCTGTCTCGCTACCACTCTCCATCAGAGCTTTCTCCAATCCTGCTAAGCTAGCCTTCTCTCTGACTTTTAGTTCAAAATGGACCTTAGCCAACTGTTCTCTGCTGCAACCCACCTTGCTTTGTAGAGTTGGCTTTGGAGTATGGTCTGACTTTGGATTCTTCTTTCCTTCGGTTTGGATCAATGAAGAACTCTCTCCACTTTCTTTCAAGTCTTGTTGGTACTGGGTGTACCTACGCTGAATTTTCCTTCTTTGTGATCTGGAAATTACGGGGACCATATCTAGTTCTTTCGTTCTTGGGTATTTCAGCAATACCCAATTATTGGGGGCTACCAAAGGAGGCTTAACCATCCTACCTTGGTTTACAACATTCCTTTGGGTAGGCATTTCCCTAGGTTGGTTCTGCATCACAAACCAATCTGGAACTCCAGGTACCCACGAACTTACTGACCCAGATGTTGAGCTGCCATTTTCTTCCTTCGAGGCCACCTTTGAAGCTGGCTGTGAAGGTAATTGCTTGGCCCTGACTTCAAGCTTCGAGCCTAATCCAGGCCTTGGATGAAGGTGATCATTTTCTATCGTCCGTGAGGTTGGTCTAGGGGGCCAATCTCTGGCTTTGATCCTAAAACCTGAACTCTTCTCCAGTCTTCTTTCAGAATGACTGCTCTCCATTCTGTAATAGTTAGGTGGCCTGGACTCATATAAGGGCCTCTTGCCTTTAGCATGCATTCTATCAACTGCAGGCTCAACCACTAATGGCTGCTGCCTAACATTAGCCAGATACGACCTTTTATTATAAGCATTTGGTTGGTTTGGGATGCCTCTGCACATCCCTGTAATATTGCTTCCCATCAACCGGAAGGCCTTTCAACCACTTATAACTCAGTCTGCACCTGGGACACATCCTCTGCATTACGGCTGCCTCTAGGGAGTCGTCATCTAGTGCTTCTTCATCAGAGTCTTCCCTCTGGTATGAGAAATCTTGTCCAATAGCTGGCAGATTTTTGATATCCTTCTCGGTAGTTGTCTGATTGGCAATATGCATCTGCACATTGACCTCTTCCAATTCCTGCAGAGATAAATTCTAGAAGTTTGGTACAACAACATTAGCTACGCTTTCTCCAACCTCTGGAAATGAATTACTGTCGATCCCCATGGCCTTTTCTGTTTTGGCTGGGAATTTCAAACTTCCTTTCCAAATTTGTTCTTGGATCCTGTCTCGAAAAACAATGCAGTTTTTAGTCAAGTGAGACCAAGAGTTATGCCATTTACAATAGACTTTTCCCTTAAGTTCATCAGGAGATGGAAGTTTTACTCCTTTTGGTAACTTAAGGAAGTTGGCCGTAAGTAAATGATCAAAAATGTCATCTGCTTTAGTTAAATCGAAAGAGTACTTCCTATGAAGGTCTTTCTTTTTAAACTGTTGGTCAATTGTTGTATCCTTATGAATTAATGCTTCACAGATTACAGGTTCTTTCCTCACAATCTCTGCTGCATCAATCTCATAATTAGGATCTCTATAGTATGTCTTGTACGATGCATTATTTCGATCTTGTTCCTCCTCTAGTAATGCTTCATATCTAGACACTTTATAGGTCAGTTCTACCAGGTCTCTGAATTCGGTTGAGTCAAACTTCTTTCGAAGCCTGAACTCTAAGCCATTTTGGGCCAATCTTACGAATTCTGGCTCTGGCAAGATAACCCTACATTTATTTCGAGCCCTTTTAAATCTGGAAATAAATTGAGTAGCCTTCTCTTCAGGCCTTTGACTCAATCTTGCCAAGTCTGCCATGGAAACTTCAGGCTCTGATTGGAAGAATTGGGCATGAAATGCCTCTTCCATTTGTTGCCAAGTCTGGATGGAACCAGGTGTAAGGTTAATGTACCATAAAAATGCTCCCCCAGTTAGAGAGTTTGGGAATAGTCTCAACTTCATATAGTCATGATTGGTAAATTCACCACATTGAGCAGCAAACCTAACAATATGCTCTACTGTTGATTGGTTTCCGTTACTATAAAAAAGGACAAAATCTGGTATCCTGAAACCCCTTAGGTATTCATATACCCTGTCGACCCATTCTGGGTATGGCTTTCTGTACACAGGAGTTTGGACCCCCCGAGCCATTGGTCCACATATCTCCCTAACAATATCAGCAATTTGGTCTCTAGGGACCATATTTTGTGCTTGCTGAACCACTGTTGGGGGAACAAACACAGGATTTGGTGGACAAACTTGTGCTTGTGGTCCTCTTGGTCCATAGGGTGGTACATTTGGGACTGGTTGTCCCTGTGGTGCAAGTTGCTGTTGGGGCTGTGGGTAACCTCTTTGAGCCTGTCCTGCGAAGGGACCTGCGAAAGGTGCTGGAACAGGTGTTGTATCCCTTCCATTTGTGGGAAAACCTTCCAATCCCCCGGGTATAAATTCGAATAAGGGATTATTGTACCCCCTAGTGCCAGGTATGGCCTCGAACGTGGGATTTAGAACCATTCTTATGCCATTTTCTTGTACTGGGCCAGATCCACCAACTTGCATAGCTTCACTGTTAAACATTGAGGCATTTTGGCCTGCTATAGGCCTCGAAATGGGTTCGTACCAAGACTGAGGTGGTGGTCTTTCATGACTCTGATTACTAGTTTGACCACTAGAATGTCCATTAACTTGCATAGGCTGTTTATCTCTAGCCAATCTTTGCTGAGGGACATTTACTTCCTCTATGTGTCTTGCATTTGTTGGTTGGTGGTTATTCATTCGATCCAAGAAGGATGTTGCCCACCTTTCCATTGTGTTCATTAATTGTTGTCCCATGGCATCTACTAGGCCATTCCATGGATTTATTGGCTGAGTAGATGGTACAGTGGATGGTCCAATTCCTTGGTTTCGTCCAATACTATGAACATGTGGTTCTTGATCCGAAGTGCTGGTCTGTTCGACCAAAGGTTCTGATAAAATAGGAGTTTTCCACAGGATGTGCTATCACATTATCCCCTAGATTAGGTATTTCTATCTCTCATTCCACGCCTTCTTCCAAGCATTCATTTTCTCCTTGTCTCCTACGTCTAGCCATCTCAATTGGTCCCACTGGGCGTGCCAAAAATATATGTTGGCTTTTTGGCTTTCGAAGGTTATTTTTGTAATTGTGAGCATGCCAGCAAGGATCAATCAGTCCTTACAGAATTTTAATTGCCAACCAATTATCAGACGATTGTGTTGTAGATCTTTTAGCCTCAATAAAGAGGACTTTTACTAGTGGCTTGATTTATGAGAATTTAAGCACAAGAATAGTTAAATAAAGAGGAATTGAAGCATTTCATTAGTATGAAAAACTTACAATGATCCAAATCCAACATCGTAGAGGTTTACAGCGACAATCTAATTGAAATTACTCCTATGAATGAAGTGTAGTGCAGGAATTTAAAGTACAGGAATGTAAAGAACAGGAAATATAAAAACTGGAAAGAAATATATAAAGTAAGACTAGTTTGTTGGATCTGAGTCTGGGGGTTTTTCTGGGGTCTTCCCTGCTATTTATACTCCTCAAAGATGACCATCGAACTGCACTTCAAACTGTCGAACTGCTCCTCCGTGATCATTGATCATGCTGCCTTATAAGTAGTTCCACTACGCCATCACTTGCAGTTAAGCTTCCCTCATATATTTGAATTTGAATTTGAATGTGAGTAACTGTTGAAGCCACGTCACCTTGCATCTCTTTGCTGATCCAATGCTACTCGGACCACGCAATAGACAATATCAACTGTCACGTGTACGATCAGGATCGAAGACTTGAATAGTCTTTCTATATTACCCTTACTCTGTCACGCGTCGAACTGTAACTGGTCTTTTACAAAATATGTAGCCAACAGAAATTAATTATTCATATTATCTTTTATGAATTGAAAAAAAAAGAGAGATTTGATTGTATTGACATATACAACTTCTATAGATTGGGTTGAAAAGCCAGATTTTTTTATGTATTTAATTTACAATTTATTTTCTTTTTATTTTTCCAAATCCAAAAAAAAGAAGAAGACAAGAAAAGTTTAACTTCTAGTTCATTTTATTTTCATGTAATTTTTTGTTTTATTTTATTTTGTTTTGTTCACAAATCTCATATCACTACAAAAAAAAAGTGTTTTTTGCGACGGCGTTTTGCCATCGCAAATGCCCCATACACCGTCGCTAATACTTTTTGCGACGGTAATTTGGTTTTTTGCGACGGCAAGTGGGGGTCGCAACAAAAGGGGTTGCAAAAGGGCTTTAGAGACGGTAAGTGCCGTCGCCATTGTTTTTTGCGACGGGAGAGTGCCTTTTTTTGCGATGGCAATTTTCTGTCGCCAATAAGTGAAGAAAATCTGAGTTTTTGCGACGGTACAGTATTTCCGTCGCTAAAATGGGTTTTTTGAGACGGGAAGAATACCGTCGCTAAAAGAGTCGTAGCTGATAACTATTGGCGACGGCAATCTGAGCCGTCGCTAAAGGTTTATTTTTCAATTACATTCCATAGCTTTTGCGACAGTATGGGTGCCGTCGCAAAAGCCTCGTATAATTTTTTTTGCGACGGGTGGTATGCCGTCTCAAAAAAAAAAAAAAAAAAAAAAAAACCCTTTGGGAAAATTTTAAAAAAAATAAAAAAAACATATTTAAAAAAAAAAAAAAAAAAAAAAAAAAATCTTAGAACATACCCTTCAACAACTGTTGCAAGCATATTACTGAATATTGTTTCACATATACCTGTCCCTGTCATGTCCCAATTTCTCTTTTTTAAGATGTGACTTAATATGTGCCTATGTCCTATCAAATTCATGTACAGCATCATGCCCACACCTCGCAGATGACTTTAATGCGATCTAATTTACATCCACTTTGCTCCCCAATAATTTCTAGGACTCAAACAGATCCTACACAACAAATCTTAAAGAAAGTTTGTTTCATAAAATCCGAAGAATAATTTTGGTATGCACAAAAGGGGTAAGAGGTATAGATGAATAACAGTAGACATTGAACATATATGAAATTTAAAGGTCTTATTCATCTCCATGATTAGTAAATGGCTAGCTGATTCTTTGAAGTATCAAGGTGGTTATAGAGTTTTTAGTTTTCTTAAAAAACAGAAAATAAAACTAACATAACAAACAAGGAATCTTCAGATATAATATAACATGTCAAATTAAATAAATATCAAAACTACTTAATTGAAGAATAAGAACACAAATAAAGCATTTCTATGTTTAGAGATATCAAATCAATATTAACTTAAAATCAAGAGACCATGAATCTCTGTAAGAAAGCCAATTAGAATGAACTTACAAAATTTTGAGATCAGACAATTCACCAATGTAATCTGGGATTGGGCCAGTAATTAAGCAATTTCTCAGTATCCTATGTAACAAAAATAAAATAAACAAATCGGTTAGGTAACCACACCACAAAGTAATGACACAAGATTGCACTCTTCCCATGAATTACATCTGGATTCAACTTACAGTGTGTTCACCCTTCTGTTTTAATAATCATATAGCCATGATCAGCTGACTAAAAGCATCACTGAAATTTACAGATTAAATAGGCAGCTGATAGTGCAGCTGAAAATATGACAAGACTACTTTAAATATAACATGGTTGAAATGTTTGATATGCGCATCCTCTCTCTCTCTCTCTCTCTACCGACTTTCATAATGAACAAACGTTAACATTTACATGCCAAATACATAAAATGCAACTCCCAGCATATCAATCATGAAATATTAACAGATTTAAGTTGAGAAAAAAAAAAAAAAGGTTCAAAAAAGCGTTGCAAACTAAATTAAATGGATGGTACCAAAAATGAACATTTGCCATTTCAACTGTTAACCAGAGAAAATGGTCCAAACAAAAATCAGAAACTACTTCTTGGTTAGAAAATGCTAAACAATACATAATGTAGACTGGAGTGAACCAAGACCAAATTAAGCAAACTGAATGCACTAAACATGTATATATATGCATAAATGCGGGGCAGGCTGATTCTCAATTGCAGATATTGATAAGTATGTGAACAGGAATTGCAATGGACAAAGGAAATTGTGGTAAAGTAGTTATATAAGCGTACAGGAAACCAAATACTTGAAAATACATGCATACTGGCCATTTTCTCACTCTAAAAATGTTAAAATGTCCCGTTGCCCGTCTCTCTTCTAGTAGAGAGATAACGATAAGCCCTTATAAAAGCTACTCTGCCCAACTGTCATTATTCTAGTCTTGAGAATAACACCATGTCACATGAATAATAAATAAAATTATAGAAGTGCATATTCTCCACACAAACAGAATTGGACTCCAAAATATTAGAATTTTCTTCAACACTAACAACATGTAATACACAAGTGTTTTCAGTTATAATAATAGAATCATACATGGCATGGAAATTTATTGAAGACAGTCTCCACAACAAATCAGAAAGTCAGAAGTGCGTCCGTTCAATCTTACTAATTACTGCCACTTAAGAGAAAATTATGAGAAAAACACTTGCCAAATCAGATCACAGTAAATTAAGGTAGTAGGACTGGATCATCCACGGCTTCCCCCAATTTCCTTCATAAATTTATGGAAGTTTTGCTTATTTGCCTATACTTTTTGTATCATATTCTTCTTTCCATGAAATTCCACCTTAATAAGCCTTTCAATCTAACAAGTTCAATGTCAATATTTATTTACATGGTAAAGGGTTTTGGAAGTCCAAAAGAACTTACATCCCCTTTAACAATTTATATAATTAAAACCAACCGTATGGGCATAACAAGAAGCAGGTGAGCTAGAGAAAAATACCAGTCGTAGTGCAGCATTTCTTCCAAACTCATCCCCATTGTCGATTACGTCACGGAGTGCATCTGGAAGAAACTTCCAAAACTCACCAACAAACTCTGACCCCTTTCGCCTACTATTCTGCAGAATATCGTTCGCAAGATATAGAAAAGCCAATCTTTGCTCACGTGGGGAGCAATGGAATTGTCTATCCCATGTTTCAACAACTTGTTTTGCCTTATTCATATGGAAAATACACCAATGTGATAAAGCTTAATTGCATTAAGGATAGCATCTCTGGAGCATGTACCAATAATGAAGAATAAGACTATGACAAATGTAAAAATAGTGATTAAGGCCAAGTTTGGGATATTCAAAAAAAGTCAAAAAGTTACTCAAAAAGTTAAAAAGTTAACACTATTCACCAAAAGTCAACAATTACGGCTGCACAACTCCCAATTCTAATTTTCCTCTACAAACCAACTTTTACAATTTTTTATTACACATTTTTCCATAAAAAGTCAAAAAGTTAACCCAAACATGAGTCCAAAAAGACAAAAAGTACACTTATTTAGGACATTCCAAACAACCCCTAAAATACATCCAGAATACAGTAGGCAACACATACAGGAGAATTTGGAACAGCCAATTAATGAGAAAGATTGGTAACTGGAGCAAAAGCACAGGATGAAACAACAAAATCACAAGTTACATGTACTGTTCCAGACTATCAAAATCAAATCATTTTTTGGGTACATCGGAGGCCATAACCTGAGGGAGGGAGGAGGCTTTCCTGTGGTAAAACTTGAACCCTTGACCTCCAATGAGACGTAGGGAATCTGCAAATCTGGTTAACTGGGCTACCCCCAGTTGGTTATCACAACAGTGGAAAATATTATCAAAAGGGGGGAGGGGGGAATTCTAAATGAAAATGCTGGAATATTTCATCAAAAAAAAAAATAAAAAACACTAAAATTTTATTTGAAATACAAAGAATTAGGTGTAACTTCAAAGAAGATAGCATAAACCCAAAAAAAGGTTTTGGTCTAAGAGATTTGGGGGAATTCAATAACAAAGCTAAACCTCAATTTAAAAGCAATGAATAATGTTGGAAGCAATGAAACAAAATATCACTTCAAATATGGAAATAGAAAATGAATCCCCAATAGAGGTGAAAATAACCAATGACTATCACAAACAAAAACAAAAAACTAAATAGAGAGAAAAATATCGTATAGACGAGAGGATACTCTCAATGCTCTGCTGTGAACTGTTGAGCTTGGCCAGCTTTTCCATCAGAATCTGCGGATTAAATGTGCTCCCCATTGTTTGTGACAAAAGTCTGCCCACACAATAGAACAAAAGGCAGACTTCTGAACAAGAAGCAACCTTTACAAGAAAACGTACAGAACAAAATCAAAATGGATTAACTACCTTGTAAGATACAAAGATGACATAAAACACAATATATCAAAGGTATTTGAAAATTAAGTTACCTATTGTATCAAACAGAACCAAAAACAGGGAAAGTTCCTTACACAAGCAAAATTTGTGCTGTGCTTTACACTAAAAAATAACCCTAAATTTACTGTACCAAAACACCACCATTATTTTGTTCAAGTAGTAATAATATGTATAAACTCTCTCCTCCCTATCCCCTCTCTTTCGCACTCAGTTTAATTAATATATAGGTGCCTTTTAGAATTTCCCTATAAAAATTTAAAATCTATTCATTACAAACCACCACAGAGAAGTGTGAAGATTTACCAAAAGTGTACACAAATTATTCTCAGAACCACCCTATGAGAACATTGACAGATATTCTTTGAGTAATCAACGTAAATTGGGAATGATAGCAATAAGCGATTGTGAACATCATGTTCTCTCAATGAGGATCACAGCCCTTCGTGAGTAAAAGGAAGCAGATAATAGGAACAGAAGCAATATTTTTGCACAAAGCAGCAATTATTATGTGATTAATTGGGTAAAAGAACGTGCAAGAAGACTATAGGTCTACTATAGCAAGATGAGATGGGCAACTGATTTTTCCATGACATTAAGGCACCAAAAAAAAAAAATTTAGTCAGTATTGGACTGACTAATCCGGGAGACCAATCTCACCATCCACTTGTGGGGGTCCCAATTAATCAAACAACTATCACAACATCAAAAAGAATAACAACTGAAATTTAATGTGTGAATGTGAACATGTGCTCAATAGGGAGTGAGATGGGGAAAGAACAGGAATACTATATCTATTTATTTTTCTAAGCAAATCTTCGTTGTGTGTGATAGGTGCTAAAGCCAAGAATGTCCTAATTACTAGACATCTTGCAGAAATTAAGCACAAGATGTGCCCAAAAAAATGGATGAAGCCTCTTGCACTCCTTGATTTTTTAATTTTTAATTTTTTAGCTACTGCACTCCTTGAGTTTAGCAATCTAACTTGATAAACATCCAATGTTGTAGCGTGAATGTTGTAACCCAAGTTTTGCATCCCGCAATGTGGTCATCAAAATTAGAGAGTGAAAAATGTTGACCAATTTACATTCATGATGAACGGAAAATCAATTTGCACAGCATCCACGAGAATGAAAGCATGCATCCACATTTAGATTCTTCAAGTTGAAGGGTTAAAATAAATATATCAATAAAAAGGCATACAGTCAGAATTAGAACGTAGCTTAGTCACTATTAAGAATCTGATAATCAAGGATTCATATTATGTGACAGGATGAGTTTGAGTAGCAACAGATGCTGTAATTAATAAATAAAAATAAACCCAGTCACAAATAGACTCGTAAGAGAAACATACTAAATATGCTTCATTTAAGTTCACATGAAACAACTGCATTAGTAAGATAATCCAAAACAAAAACACCATCCCTCAGTCAATGCATCAATTCTCTAATGCAGTTAATCAAGTCTATAAATCCACGGACCACAATTTCACAAAATTAAACACAAATCATTAATGAAACTAGTATTAACAAAAGTAAGTACAATGAAATCATGTGATAAGGCCTCCACGAGAATTGAAGGAAAATATATATCTATATACACACTAGACTCCAGCACACGCAATGTGTTCATATTGATATAATAAATGCCAAGATATAGATTGAGAAAGATGAGTTATAACTCCCCTTATGGGACATGAAAGTTTTTTTTTTTTTGGTGATAAATAACAGGACATGAGAGTTTTTTAGTAATCGAATGAAGGATTAAAAATCCCAAAAACTGGAGCAATTCCAAATGTGTGTAGTGTGATTTTTCCCCCTTCTTTTCCCTTCCACTAAAAGAATATTAAAATAATTGCACCTGCAAAAATGTGATTTTATGAACAATGTTCGAATTTCAAAAATTGTTGCACAACTTCATTTTGAAGTTCACGCCATCGCGAGACCCTTTGGGACAGTACATGATTGATGGAACTAAAACGCATACATAAATTGGGAGGTTTAATGACTTTGAATGTGTGAATTTCACAATCTTTCCATAACTGTTGAATTTCACAATCTTTCCATAACAGTAAGTTTCCTATAAATAAATAAAAAATGATTTTTGTTGGATAATTTTGTTGGGGTTTAGGGTGTGAGCATAATTTTCTTATGTTTGGGTGCTCATACACATCCTACCCCTGCCAAAAATACCCTCATCTTCTTCAACATTCAAACCCTAATCCTAACCCCCTAATCCCTAACCACCACCTCCGCCGCTGGAAACTTGTACCTCCACCGCCACTCTCACCCTTCTATCATCGTTGGCCGCCATTATCAATACATTTACTCCCCAGCATCTACTTTTGCTACCCATTATTTATTTTAAACCTAGGCACTACAACTCTCATGTCATAATTCACTCCAAGTTTCAGAAAAACCAATTGAAATGTTTGATATGCGCATCCTCTCTCTCTCTCTCTCTCTACCGACTTTAAATACATCTGAAGAATAATGGTGACAAGAGGATTGTGGCTGACCTTTGCTCTGTCTTGCAGCTTAAACTCAAGCCACTTATTTGGATTGAGGGCTGGGGAAATCAAACCCATGTGATATTGAGATTAGAAAATTACCAAATTCCAATGTCAATTTCCATAATAACTATAGCATTATTCAGAATATCCAAAAGTCTAATTTCCAAATGCAATTACACTCAAATTCCATATTGCCATAAGCCTTTAACTGATGATTATACACATGTTCACATCCAAATGTACCAACATAATTCAAACTACGCACTTCAATCAGGTAAATTCGAACACTTTTAATACCCCTAATACATAATTCTTAAATTCTATATACATACTCAGGTTTGATGACTTATGATGAATATTTTTTCAATATTAACACTACCAAAAAACCCAAGTCCACAATCATCAACATATTTCAATCCACATACTTTGAGCAAAACCCAACATTCAAAGCCCTCAATACAAACATCTAATTGCAAAGAATTCATTTTCAGAAAACGACACACTTCATTTCCATAAAGTTAAAATCAAACCCAAATGAAATTGAGATTAGAAATTACCAAATTCGGTGAAGAAAAGTAGTAGTAATACGAGATTCCACCAGAAATCGCAGTAATTGCTCCGAAGGGAACTCGAAAACTGGGGAAACTCGATTTGGGTTGGTCACGAAATGCGTGACTGAATGCGATCGATATATATTTATTTATTTGGGGCAGATATATAGGAAGGACAATTGGGGACATATAAAACCCTAGCAAGTGTGAGAAATGAAAAAATAGAGAGAGAGAGACCGAGAGTGACAGAAAGCGAGAGAAAAATCTGTGAATTTTTCAGATTGGGTATTTTGGTTCAAGAGATGGGGAGGGGGGAAGCCGAGCGGGAATGGAAAAAAGAGGGTGGAAAATCGAGCGGGAAATTTTTTTTGTTTTTTTGGTAATATTTAAACAGCAAAATGATTCTTTTTTAAAAAAAAAAATTATTTTTTGTTAAAATAATTTTTTTTTTATAGTTAATGAATTTATTTTTTTTGCTTCTTTATTTTTTCCAGTTATAAAGGTTGAAAATTTATTTGTTTCATTTTTATTTTAATGAATAAAAAATTATTCTTATTTTTTTACTTTGGTAGAAGTAGGAGTAATATTTTAATGAAAAATAATTTCCATAAATTTTATAAATTGGTTTTTGTTTATTTTTAGAAAAATATAAATTACAAACGCGTTTGGTTTGAACAAAATGTTTAAAAAAAATTAAAAACATAAACTAAAAAGCATGTTTGTTTAGGCCTAAAATATTTATATTTATTTTTTGTATTATTTATGACGATGGAATTATACACATTATAATTGAAAAAAAATATTTGAAAAAATATATATTTGAAAAGAGATGAGAGAGATAGAGAAGAGAAATGAGTAAGAGAGATGAGTGAAAGAGAGAGAAGAGAAATGAGTAAGAGAGATGAGTGAAAGAGAGAGAAGAGAAATGAGTAAGAGAGATGAGTGAAAGAGAGAGAAGAGAAATGAGTAAGAGAGATGAGTGAAAGAGAGAGAAGAGAAATGAGTAAGAGAGATGAGTGAAAGAGAGAGAAGAGAAATGAGTAAGAGAGATGAGTGAAAGAGAGAGAAGAGAAATGAGTAAGAGAGATGAGTGAAAGAGAGAGAAGAGAAATGAGTAAGAGAGATGAGTGAAAGAGAGAGAAGAGAAATGAGTAAGAGAGATGAGTGAAAGAGAGAGAAGAGAAATGAGTAAGAGAGATGAGTGAAAGAGAGAGAAGAGAAATGAGTAAGAGAGATGAGTGAAAGAGAGAGAAGAGAAATGAGTAAGAGAGATGAGTGAAAGAGAGAGAAGAGAAATGAGTAAGAGAGATGAGTGAAAGAGAGAGAAGAGAAATGAGTAAGAGAGATGAGTGAAAGAGAGAGAAGAGAAATGAGTAAGAGAGATGAGTGAAAGAGAGAGAAGAGAAATGAGTAAGAGAGATGAGTGAAAGAGAGAGAAGAGAAATGAGTAAGAGAGATGAGTGAAAGAGAGAGAAGAGAAATGAGTAAGAGAGATGAGTGAAAGAGAGAGAAGAGAAATGAGTAAGAGAGATGAGTGAAAGAGAGAGAAGAGAAATGAGTAAGAGAGATGAGTGAAAGAGAGAGAAGAGAAATGAGTAAGAGAGATGAGTGAAAGAGAGAGAAGAGAAATGAGTAAGAGAGATGAGTGAAAGAGAGAGAAGAGAAATGAGTAAGAGAGATGAGTGAAAGAGAGAGAAGAGAAATGAGTAAGAGAGATGAGTGAAAGAGAGAGAAGAGAAATGAGTAAGAGAGATGAGTGAAAGAGAGAGAAGAGAAATGAGTAAGAGACATAGAGAGTAAGAGACAGAGAGAAAGAGAGACCCATTTCATTTTTTGACTTTTTCCTCTTTCAATAATAATGGGCTCAGAGAAAGAGATGAGTGTGATTGAGAGAAATGAACGATTGAGAGAGAAGAGAAATGAGTGAGAGAGAGAGAGACAAAGAGAAAGAAAAAAAGAGAAAGATAAACAAGATGAGCGAGAGATAGACAAAGAGAGAGAGAGAGAGAGA